TTAACGGCCGGAAAAAATTCGAAATCTACATCAAGTTCCTTCTCTATGGCCATCATCTTGAAAAGTCTGTCTTTCCGATGTTCAAGGTGAATAACATAAATGTGTTCGAAGCCAAGGGTTCTGTCATTGTTTTTTATTGGAGTTGTGTCTGAAAACGTGTAAGAAGTTGTGTTCGAAGTTGTGTTCGAAGCTGTGTTCGCGTCCGTTTTCGAAGAACTAGATTTATATTTGTTCGAACGTTGTCCAGGCTCAGTAAAAACCATGATAGATAGTGGCATTAGTAATATCAATAAGAAAACAGGAAATTTGGGATTTATTAGTTTCTTGATGTATATCATTGTAGTTATCAGAAAGTCGGAAAGATATCGAGAAAAGTTAGAATGTATATTATTATATCAACTTTATTTCATTGCTAAATTTGGTGCGTGTAATGAATATTTTTCCAATTTTAGGGTGTCCTATGTTGCATTTTTTTTCCGGATCGCGAGAACACTAACCAATAGGTTTCACGTAACTTATTACGATTTGTGATTTGTTAATCACAATGTAAATACAACTGCACGGGGAACACCAAAACTGTTGAATTCATGTTACTTACTTGTTCCTCATTTTGGGAAACAAGAAATGAATGTTATTGTCACTTATGCAAAATAATGTAGAGTGTACAGCTTATTCAGCAGGGTACATTCTGTTGGCATTATTGTCTCGCGTAACGTCAAGATAGGTTAGACTTCTTTCTCTAATAGGCGTGTGTCCTTTATTTTCCCTTTCGCTCAATGCTCCTCTCGATGATTTTGTCACAAGTCCCTTTAGTGGCCTCCAGGTAATCCTTATAAGCTGGCTACTACTAGCTAGATAAGGTAAGTTCATTAATTAAAAAAATTCCCTGATTTAGAATTAACCAACAATAAGAGAAATTATTTAAATTCTATGATCTCGTTGCTATCTCATGTACGATGAATAAATATTGTGTCCAACGCGAAAAATTACGTTACACTGTCGCGCAGCCCAAATAGTTTACTACCCAAAAAAATTCCCATATTAGAAAACGAGAAATGCATTTTTTTATGTTAAGTAGAACAAAGTAGGATGATATACTGTATTATCCGCCATATACAGTCAAACCTGGTTATAATAATGGTTTCTATATAAACATAGTAATTTGATATAAGAACCTTTTTTTTTTTAAGAAAAACATCGAGTTCGCTATAAAGAGGGTTGACTGTATTTTGTCATGTGACCCGGATACATTTGCAAGATCATTATCATACGACTATTACTGAAAAGGCCTTCATCGTACATCTGCTATTTGTACTGTCAATCTCATCATATTTCTTTCTAAAGTTGTGATGTTGTAGGATTGTACTATAAACTTTTTCACTTCTAAATAACCCATTATTTTCACTCTGATCTAAATACATGCTAGAAGATAAATAAATAAATCATGTGAATTATTTGTGTTACTCGGATTAGTTGGAGACTATTATTTGATCACATCATCGGATGCCCAGTCGTGCTTAAAAGAGTACCGTGAAAACGTGACACGTTATAATAGAATTTTTTAAAAAGTTCCTGTTTCGAACTTGCCATTCCATCACGCACGTTTTTGGGGGTAATTCTAATATTCTCTGCGCTTCTAGTTTAGCAATACACATCCACCTTGACAGCCATAATGGTGAGGAGAACTGATAAGTAATAGAAAAAAGATGGATTAAATTTTAACGAAAGTCATTTTACGATTAAATTTTCGTGAGAATGTAGTTATGGAATTCCAGGAGATACGGTCAATGATTAATACGCAGCTCTATTAAATAATATTTACAGTACTTTCTGGTTGATTTTTCACGTGGTATGTAACATAAAAAGATCATAATATCAAATTTTGGTTTAAACTTGAGGTGTATAGCATATCAGAATTTATTAAATGTAAATACAGTATGAGACAAAAAAAAACTATTTAAAATAAAAATTTGATTTTTATTAATAATTTAATAATTAATTAATTAATTAGAATAAATATATATATGTATATATTTAAAGATATAAAGAATAGAAATACATAAAAAGTTTTTTTAAAATATAATAAAATAATATTATTAGATTCTAATTAAAAAGAGATAGCAAATTAAAAGTTTTGATTTTTCTTTCATTTACAAAAAATAATAACAATTAATTATTAAAATTATATAAATATATAAATTAGTTAAATATAGATTAATAAAACTTTTAAAAAACTTTTTTAGCCTAATATTAAACTGTCTACTTTTTTATAAATAGTAATTTAATAATAAATATATTTTGACCTGTGGATCTATAGCACAGTGGTTAGCATCATACATGTGGTCGTATTACCATAAAAGGAAATTTGATCAACAATACGATTCCAAATTAAATACGAATTCCAATTATTTACTATATGTTATTTAGTAATTCTACCATAATACGGTTTTTGAAAAATGATAGAATTCAATTCCACCACATGTATAGTTAGCATACATGTGATCATATTACCATAAAAGGAAATTTGATTGACAATACGATTTTGAATTAAATACGAATTCCAATTATTTACTATATGTTACTTAGTAATTCTACCATAATATGGTTTTTGAAAAATGATTAAATTCAATTCCATCACATATATAGTGGTTAGTACTTTGCAAGTCAGATCATATGGTATCAGTTTAATTCCATGTAAAGGTGATTAAATAGAATTAATATAGTATCTGGTATTATAACTAGTCAAGTACTGTTTTTTATAAAAAGCCATTTTATATATTAATCCAATGGATATTGAAATTGTAATTTTCTGTTAAGGTATAATAGTATAATAATCATCTAACAAAAGAAATCCATAGAACTATTCACATATTTGAATATGCAGATTGGGCTATACTTTATCTTAATTAATTTTAAACTGCCAATCCTCTTTCCTATTAACTGTTAAATAAGAAAGCTTTGAAGGAGAATATTGAATTAATACTAATATTTTATATAACATAGTCACCTAATGGCTTATATATGTAAAAGTTATATTTTGCTTATAGTCCCGAAAATTGGAATCGCATAGACTCACATGGACTCACATATATATAAAAAACATAAGTGGATTATAACCCACCTATTAAATTTACTATAAAAGTTTGAATCGAATGAAATCGAACACAGAATTATTAGGATCCTTAGTTCTGCTTGATATTTATTTCTCTAGATTTGACAGCCTAAGCCAATTAGTTATAAAACTGGAATGTTTACTAAGAGATTAAGGAACTTGAAAGCTTCTTAGTATGCCTATATATTTTTTAAAAAGTTATATTCCACTTGGTTACAAAAGTTCCTAAATTTAATAGCTAAAAATCAACCAACAGTTAAAAACCAGAACATTCACTAGAGAGTACATACATCATGTTAAAATCTCTTTGTCACATTAGTTATATAAGTGAAAAGATATAATATAATAAGTATTTTAGATAAATAATTAACAGTATTCTACTGTTTCTATAAAAATTGAACTGATAAATTAGATAATTTAAAACTAATGATAAGATTTTCATTCTCTAGATAGGTTCTTCTGAAAATATATAACACATTTCAAAGATGAATAGTATATCATCAAATATAAAATATAAAATAGGATAATATTTAATTATAGTTTAGTATTATAGATAATGTTTGATATAATTGTAATATTATATATATATTAATAATTAATTAATATTTTTTTTTAAGATGAAAGATACTAGACATATTGGTTTTTATTGAATTATTTATATTTAATTACATTATATTAAAGATTCATTTAAGTTAATCCATTCCTTTCACCTGTTTTTTAATCCAGCTATATGAACTTATTACTATGAAAATGGGTCCATATACTAAGTGAAACAAATTCAGAGGGTGAAAAGTTCTGCCACTAGTTTAAATTCACTTTCCTATTAAGTTCTGATTTAGCAACCTTATGGCTGCTCTCTGTCAAAGATCTTATATCTTGTAAGATTGATTAGAATATCTGAATAACCCAAATACTTTTCATCTAGTTTCTTAAAGAAGGTACTTGTACTCCTTATTATCACCTGCAGCTTCAGATTTTCTTGAAAGATTCTCTTCTTTTAAGCAAATTCCAGATTGGGATAGCCCTAAGCTAAAGTATTCTTTGTGCTACAAAGTCTGCCATACCAGGAAGATAATTTTTTGGGCTTTTATCGAAGTTAGACCAGAAGTCTTTTCTCATATAATCTTTTCTACTTCGACCTGTTTTCAGCCCGCAATCGTCAGAAATACCAGAGTAGGGTTCCGATCGGTATCAATAAAATATCATTACTGATTTATTGGTTTCGGTATTGGTATTAATTTTTAAGTTTAAATATCAAACTGAAATTTTTGATAAAATACCAATCGGTTTTAATACTTTTTAAAAATACCGATCGGTAAAGTATCAGTTGATAAAGTATCGATTAGTTTTGGTATTTTCTAAAAGTAACAATAAATATTAAGTAAAGATTTTCAATAGAAGTTACATCAAATT